AAGGAATTAAGGGAACTAAGGTGGGGATGCTTCAACTATTATTACCTAAATTAACTGAGTGGTTCCTAGATTAACTGGGTGGTGCACAGCCCTGACCTTTGCTAGGACTTTCAATGGCTACTAGCTTTTGGGGGGGTCTCTGTCTAAACTCAGCTAGTGAAGACAATGAATGGACTCTGGCAGCCACATGATGGCAGTGTTTCCTAACTGCTGAAAAGCATCTGCAGCTAAAGAAAAAAACACCTTCTTAAGTAGTGAAACTGTAAACCTAACAAATACAGCATGACCTTTGATGGCTCTCCACTGCCTACAGGAGGAAAAGAATCAAATTTCTCTTCTTCGGGTATAAGGCCTTTCATAACCAAAAGTAGACCCAGAATACTTTTCCATTCCATTACCCTCCCCTTTCTCCCACACCCTTCCCTCGGCCACAGTGCTCACCCTCTCCATGGACATGCCTTTCAGTGTATTCTCCCTCCTGAATTTTTGCATATGTCATGCCCTCTGTTTGTCCTGGGTGGGGCACAGGAGTCCTTGAAAGTTTAAGGTCCTGCCAAATACACCCTAGAAAAGTGGCCTCACTGGTTTTCCTGGCCTGGGTTGCTTTTGTGAAAGGCACCTGGGAGGTGGAGCCAGCAGATCCTCAGCCACGGGGAGGGCAGGGAGCCCACTTCCTGAGATGGGCGGTGAGGATCCTGTTCCAAGCTGAATGCAGTCCCCGGAAACACACCTCTCCCTCTCCATGATGAAGTGAAAACTCAAGGCAGTCAAAGAGGAGACTGGGCCCTCTGGGTCTGGGAGTTCTACAGAGTTATGCGGAGCACCTTCAAAAGGTACTTACCAACCCAGAGGACATTCCAGAGCCTGGCACTGGGGTGATTGGTAGTGAACAGGCACATTCCTCTTCTACCTCATGTCCCCTACATTCTTTTTTTTTAAATATATATTTTATTGATTTTTTACAGAGAGGAAGGGAGAGAGATAGAGAGTCAGAAACATCAATGAGAGAGAAACATCGATCAGCTGCCTCCTGCACACCCCTTACTGGGGATGTGCCCGCAACCAAGGTACATGCCCTTGACTGGAATCGAACCTGGGACCTTTCAGTCCGAAGGCCAACGCTCTACCCACTGAGCCAAACCAGTCAGGGCATGTCCCCTACTTTCTTAGCCAAAATTATCCTCACTATACATCTTTTGCTCATTGAGCTAACATAGCATTGAAGTTAGGAGAATAGATTCCCAAGCTACGCTTCCTTAGTTTGAATCCCATCTCAGCCACTTATTAGCTGTATGATTGTGAGCAAGTTACTCAATCACTCTGTGCCTCAGTTTTCTCATCTCTAAAATGGGAATAATCAGAGTAGCTACATGATAGGGTTTTTATGAGGATTAAATGAGTCACCCTGTATACATGTATTAAAAAAGAACCTAAAATGGTGCCTGGAACGTGACATGTGTCTGCCCATATTGCTGCTGTTGTGACTTGAAAGAACCTGACTAGACCCTTCAAGCACCACCATGATTTTGCCACCTGGCTATATCTTCATGCTTCAACGTCAAAGAAACTCATTGGTCTGGTGAGTTCTCAGTAGAACTATGCTAGTTATAAGATGTTAATGGCTATAAAAAGAGGTTAAATGGATTTTTTTTTCTATGTGGTGAGTGGTTTTCTTAGCATTTCCAAAAGTTTATAAGAAAATGCTGGTCTCCCTTGCTTGACTCTAAAAATAAAAGAGAAGAAAGGAGTCTAAGTAAGTTTTGTTCATTTGTTCATACAAAATATTAATAGATACCTACCAGGCCAGATGCTATGCTAGGGATACAAATATGAATGATACAGTCTCTCCCCTCCAAGCTCTCACAATCAAATTAGAGAAAAAAAGTGAAATAAAGAAATCTCAACACTAGGAGAGAGACACAGACATCATAGAGTGCTGCATGGTAGGAGCTGACTCATCCTGCTGGGGTGGCTTCACAGAAGAGGAGCCATTGGAGCTGGGTCTTCAAGGATGAGGAGGAGTTTGCCAGATGGATGTGTGGGCAGGGGCCATTCCAGGCAAAGGGAGCAGCCTGTGGAAAAATCACAAAGGCCTGAGCCAGCTTGGCACATTGTTTATTGTCTGGTGCTCTGTAAATAGCTGCCGTGCGGAGGACAGAGAGAGTGTAGGAGGACAATGTAGAAGGAAGCTGCTGGGGCAGAGGGTCCCATCACGAAAGGTCTTGCAGGCCAGGCTCAGAAATGTAGATGTGTTCCCAGAGACTGATACTTCTCAAAAATGTCCACTGACGTAGCATTGACTAATATTCACTGATATTCGAAGCTGAACACAGAGGAAAGAGGACTCATTTCAAAGTCAGGAGAGTGTGGGTTTATAGACCTTTTATGTGTAGGAAATTTCTCTGACACATCTTGTTTGACATTGAAAATGTGTGTGGAATTTTGCATCCTACTTTATTCTACAGGAAGGGATTGCTGATGAACCAAACTGCTAATGCTTTCCCACTCGGAGAAAGCCGCAGACGCAGATACTGAGCCAGGTCGGGTCGTTAGGGGGATCAAAAGAGAGGGTCAAGGTCTGTACATAATTTGCTTTGGGGACCACAGGGTCAGGGATGTGTCTATGTTTGTGAACCCAAACTGCTCTGGGGTTTTCTCATGGGAGCACCTATGGGAGGTTTGGGGGCCTCAGGGATCTGCAACCTTGGGGAAGCCCTGAACGAAGCCTAGCCATTCCTTGGGTACACCCACTGGGGGCTCCTCTGCAGATGGAAGGGAAGGGGACAGGCAAAGATGGATGGTACTACCCACAGGAAACACAGCTCTATTTGAGGTACACAAAAATATGAGACTTTCTGGTGTTTGGCCCAGCTGGTCTTGGGCTTCTACGTGCCTAATAGAGCTGCCTCTCACCCCTCACCCACCAGAAACCTGTCCCTCCCCAGCTCACCCAGAGACCATGCCATGGGAAGTTAGCATAGATCTCCAAGTCCAGACCCAGGGTCTGGAAAAGTGGAAGAAAAACACGACCTGGGAAGAGGATGAGATCATAAGCTCAGGGTTTGTGTTTTGGGGTCAGGGGAGCACATCTGCTGAGATGCTCTGAAGTGGGGGCGGGTAATAAAGCGAGAAGGTAAAGCCAGCCATCCACTCAGGACAGTGGGGCTCACTGTGTAGAGGGGACAGTCTGCTTGGATGACCACACATAAATGGAGAGCCAAGCTGGGTCTCCTGAACCTTGTGTTGGAACTGAGACTGGGTAAGTAGTCTGCTGGGTTTGGGGCTGGAAGAGGCCATGGTCTGGTTGAAGTTGGCACAGATGAGAAAGCTGAGGCAGGAAGGAGCTAGATTGGAGCCAAGACCTGGGATGGGATGGGAGTTCTACCCCACATTACTTCTCTCTTACCCCCACTACCAAGTCTTCCAGTGCCTCTTACAATTCATTCTCTATCCCTTCCCTCTGTCACCCCCACCATCCACCTCCCTGGTCCCCTGAAGTGATGAAGATCTGGAGCCTCGAGCTCTTGGATCTTTCAAGACAACCTTCTCCAGGACAGTAGGGGGAGCACCCCACTAAAGTATTTGAACCTGGTCTGTGTGTCTAAATATCCAAATGTGTCTTATCTGGCATTCTCTGGTTCTGGAATTTTGGCCAATATTTGTGTCAAAGTTCTTAGCTGTCAGCCATAGGCACTCATTCCAAAGAATTGTTTAGGGAGAGAACTGATTGATTACAGGATTTACTGGGTACCTCTCAGAATTATCAAGAAGGCGGCGGAACTAGGTTTGGCAGGAACGCAGACTGCCCCAGGGCTAAGCGGGTGGCCAACACCACGGCTGTCACCATTAGGTGTCGCTGCTGGCCCTCTGCGTTCACAGGGCCTAAAAATTGCGGCTGCTCAGAACCCCTTCTCCGCTTCATTCACCATTAGCTCTAAATCCAAGTCCAGGGCCCGTATTCCTGACCAACTGAACCTTGGTCATGTGCTCTCATCCTAGCTGGTAGGGACACCAGGAAAGTGAGCCCCTGGTGTTTTCAGCGTCTGCAGGTAGGATGAGTTCTGCCTCCCATCAGAAATAATAAGGTAGGACATGTTGAATCATAACTCAATAAGGTGAAAGGAATATAATAATACTATTGGGAATTTCTCAAACAAAGGAAGAATGTGAGGTGCAAGGCAGCCTAAAATGTCCACGAAAAACAGGTTGTCAGGATGGGAATGGGATTTGAATGGAGGCAGCAGTGTGCATGCATCCTGCAAAAGCAAGTTGGACATGTTCAAAGAATCAGTGCTGCCTAGGAAGCCAAAAGTGTTGGCCAAACCATTTATGAACTCCCCGTTGGTGCCTGAAGGGCTTGGAGCGGTTGGAAAACCAGAGATTACTCTGGAGGGGTCCATTCCTAGGACTCTGGTAGGGACATGTTGTTTACTATTGTTAACGTGATTTGTTCCCTCTGATTTTGACCACTAGCTTCTTCCTCTTCCACCACACAGGCACACAAGGAACAAGAAGAAACACCCACACTCTTTTTAAAAATATATATATTTTATTGATTTTTTTACAGAGAGGAAGGGAGAGGGAATAGAGAGTTAGAAACATCGATGAGAGAGAAACATCGATCAGCTGCCTCCTGCACACCCCCCACCGGGGATGTGCCCGCAACCAAGGTACATGCCCCCCCCACCGGGAATGTGCCCGCAACCAAGCTACATGCCCTTGACCGGAATCGAACCCGGGACTCCTCAGTCCGCAGGCCGACGCTCTATTCACTGAGCCAAACCTGTCAGGGCCACCCACACTCTTTGTAAAGGACCTGACATAATGTCTGGGATGAAGTGAGCATCAATATAGTAGCAATACATACATACATACATATATACATACATACTTGAGTCATTTCCCTTCTCATGGGCTGGAGCTAAGTATACAGAGAGAGAGTTCTGAAGACACGGTTTTCAGGCTGGATTCAAATGATAAGGAGCCTTGTGTTCCTGGCTAAGGAGTCTGGAGTTTATCCCGAGGGCTATGGGGAGCCTTTGTGAACAGATTAGATTTGAATTTTTTAAACCATTTTTCATTGAGAGGAGAGAGAGAGAGAGAAACATCGAGGTCAGAGAGAAACATCGATCGGTTGCCTCCTGCATGAGCCCTGACAGAGGATCGAACCCACAACCTGGGTATGTGCTCCAATGCGATGGGGAATTGAAACCTACGGTGCCTGGGACGACGCACCTGCCGGGGCAAATTTGAAAAAAATTAACCACTCTGCTGCAGTAAAGAGAATTGACTGCTGGGGCCAGCTGGAGGCAGGGAGGCCAGTTGGAGGATCAGGGTACAAATACACACACTGCATGTGAGGTCCAAGGAACATCCAGCTGAGTGATTTATTTAAAGTAATCTCAGCCTGGAAGGACCTCAGGCACTTAGCAGAAGCAAACACAAATCCTTTCTAT